TCAGTCCTGCTCCCCCGTCGTCTCTCAGTTCATCCCTTCCTTCCACATTCCCACCATCTTGTTCAGGTGCCCGCTTCACTTCCTCCCTCTCAATTATTGCAATACCCGACTGGTCTGCTGCTTCCTGCCCCCAGAGCGCTGACGGTTCATCCCCTCTCCAAACCCCGCCCCCCAGAATGTGGGGTTTTGGGCAGCAGGTCTCCACAGAGTAAAAAAAGTCCAAGCTTTTTTCATCTGTCAGTGTTTTCTAGAACATTCTCTCAGCCATCATTTCTAGTCTCCTGTTAGTCAGCCTCTATTCTCCAAACACAGTACCTGCCTTCTAGGTGAATTTGTTCTTGTATCCTTTGCCTGTAATTCCTTTTTTTTAGAATTATTTATTTATTTATTATTATTCTAATTTGCTATAAGGCATATGTGCTCACCAGAGAGAGAGAGAGAGAAAGAAAAAGTGAGAAAGCAAGCCACCAGGTCTGGGATTCAAACCTGACTTGGCCCTGTGGGAGTCCAGCACCTTAAGCACCACGCCACCCACTGCCCCTGCCCACTGCCTCTAATCCTCTCTCCATTTTCACCTGCCAAAGGCACTCCCAGAAGCCTTTCTCCCTTGTGCTCCACTTGCTGAAAGCTAGAATGAGCCCAGCCCCTCTTTTCTTTACACCCTCACGGCACTTCTCATCTTGGACCTCAGCTACAGCGTTTGTACTTTCCCTCATATTCAGGTGACATGGGTCCATTTTCTCACCAGTTTGTAAGATTCTTCAAATTCCATTCAACAACAACAAAAATGATAAAACTTGCATTAAAAAAAATTGGCATAGTAACAGCAACTCGGGCTCAAGAAAATAATAGGCTGCAGACAGATCCCAGGGCTGGATCGTTCTAGTGGGAAAGAGAATCACAGGACTAGAAAGCTGCTGTATTGCGTGGCAGGGAGTGGGCATGCCTCCTTTGTTTCTTTGTCCCCGCCTGAGAACTTTGCGCTTGTCAGGTGACTGAAATTTTTTTATTGAAAAAAAGCTAAAAGATCATAAAATGCAATTTTTTTTTTTTTTTTGGAGAAGTTTTTGCCATAGGGTGCATGCGCTCACCAGAGAGACAGAGACAGAGAGATATAAAGCGAGAAATCACCCCCCGGGGGGGTGGCCATGCCGCAATCCCTTCTCCTCCATTCACCTCATGGAATTTTGGTCACTCACGCACACGCCCCCGGAGTGAGTTTTAAGCCACCGGGTCCAGGATGCAAACCGCAGTCGACCACGTGGGAGTCCAGTGACATAGCCGTTACGGTAACTGCTGGTCCCATAAAATCCAATTTTTTAAAAAAAACATTTTTATTTAACTTTATTTATTTTAATTTGACCAGAGAGAGAGAGAGAGAGAGAGAAAGTGAGAAAGCAAGCCACCAGGTGTCCAGAACTAGAACCGCGGTCCACCATGTGGGAGTCCAGCACCTTTAACCACCACGCCACTTGCTGGCCCCAGATAATCCAATTTTTTGTGTGTCTTTCACAGAGGGACCTGAGACAGTGATGAAGGGCTGGCCCAAAATCACTTAATTGGGAGTAGCAGAGCTGGAGTAAGGCCCAGGGCCAGGCCCCACCTTGCCGTGCCCTGGCCCAGCACCCCACCCTTTTCCTTTTGCACTCAGGGGAGTAACGATTGGGTGTCACAGCAATTACTCAGATTTTGAGCAACAGGGAGTACTTTCTTCTCTTCTCTTTTCTTTTCTCTTCTTTTCTTTTCAGCTCTTTTCTTTCTAGTTTTTGCCATAGGGCACATGCACTTGCCAGAGAGACAGAGGCAGTAAGAAATCACCCCCAGGGAGTGGCCACACCACAGTCCCTTCTCTTTTGTTCTCCTCTCGGAATTTTGGGCAGTACACAAATGCACTGGCATGAGTTTCAAGGACTGGATCCGGGACTCAAACTGCATAGTCGGCCATGTGGGATTCAATGCCTTAAACTCCACGCCACCTGCTGGCCCAAATTGTTCTATTGTTGATGAAGTGATCACTCAAGGAAAAGGGAAGATCAAACACATAAAACTATCTCATTTCTAGATTGGGTTGATGCTTTTCCTCTAAGCCATCCAGAATGTCTCAGAAAAATTTATTTTATTTTTCCCTAAAGAAGTTATGGGCCCAGCAGGTGGCATGGTGGTTGAGGCGCACTGGACTCCCACATGGTCCAGCGTGGTTTTCGAGTCCCAAGGTAGGCAGCTTGCTTTCTTACTTTTTTTTTTGGAGAGGTTTTTGCTATAGGGTGTGTGTGCTCACCAGAAAGACAAGAGACAGAGAGACAGAAAGCAAGAAATCACCCCCCAGGGGGGATGGCCACGCCACAATCCCTTTTCCTCCATTCTTCTCTCGGGATCTTGGGCACGCACGCACACACGCCCAGCGTGAGTTTTAAGCCACCGGGTCCGGGACACGAACCGCGGTCAACCACGTGGGAGTCCAGTGACATAGCCATTACGCTAACTTCTCTCCCCTTCCTCTCTTTTTTTTTTTTAAATTATTTATTTATTTATCCACTCTTTTTTTTTTTTTTTTTTTTTTTTTAATTTGACCAGAGAGAGACACAGAGAGAGAGGGAAAGTGAGAAAGCAAGCCACCAGGTCCAGGGCTTGAACTGTGGTCGGCCATGTGGGAGTGTCCAGCACCTTAACCACCACACCACCTGTTGGCCCCCCTCCCCTTCCTCTCTTTGATGAACACATGTGCCATACCCCATAGCAAATTTTTAAATAATAATAAATAATATCTTAAAAAATAAAGTTATAAAATTGGGGCCAGCAGGTGGGATGGTGGTTAAGGACTCCCACAAGGCTGACTGGTTTGAGTCCAGACCTGGCAGCTTGCTTTCTTAGTTTCTCTCTCTCTCTAGTGAGTGCACATGCCCTATAGCACATTTAAAATAATAATATTAATATATAAAATTCAATAAATAATTCTTCAAAAAAAAGTTTAAAGGGCAAGGGGCCAGCAGGTGGCATGGCATGGGGATTGAGGCACTGGACTCCCACATGGCCAACCGCAATTCAAGTCCTGGACCTAGCGGCTTGCCTTCTCATTTTCCTTCTCTCTCTCTTTCTCTGTCTCTCTCTGGTGAGTACCTGTATCAATTTTAAAAAATAATGATAATAATGATAAAGTTAAATAAATAATTATTTGAAAAAAATAAAAGATTGATGGGCCAATTCTGTAGCCTGATGGTTAAAGCAATCAAATTCCACATGCTGATCATGCAGTTCACACTCCTGCTCTGCTTGTAAAACATGCCAGACAGGGACCAGCAGTTAGTGTAATGGCTATGTCGCTGGACTCCCATGTAGTAGACCGCGGTTCGCGTCCCAGACCCGTGGCTTAAAACTCACGCTGGGCGCATGTGGGTGCATGCCCAAGATCCTGAGAGGAGAACGGAGAAGGGACTTCAGTGTGGCCATCCCCCGGGGGGTGATTTCTCACTTTCTGTCTCTCTGTCTCTTTCTCTCTGGCGAGTGCACGCGCCCTACAGCAAAAACCCCTCCAAGAAAAAAATGCCAGACGTGTGCAGCGGGTGCCCAAAATTCCAAAAGAAGGGAGGGGCAGAGGAGGAATTGTAGGGTGACTCTCTCTCTTCCTCTGGCTAGCAAAATAAAAAAAAAAAAGCCCCTCCCTCAAAGGGGGGATGCTGGGGACCAGCAATGACTGCATGAAAGTAACGGGTTGGTCTCACCAGGTTGTGCTCTAATGTTCCTCATGGAACCTGGAAGCCGTACTGCCAGGAAACGCTGGGTGAGCCCTGGTGATCCCACAGGGCAGCCAAGTCATCTTGTCAGATCCCGTTTGGCCTCAGGTCCTGTCTCTGGCCCCACACACCTCACACACCAGCCAAGATTATTATTATTTTTAGGTTTGCCGTAGGGCACATGGGTTCGCCAAAGACAGACAGAAAGGAACAGTGAGAAATCAACCCCAGGAAGGATGGCCACACTGCAATCCCTTCTCTTCCATTCTCCTCTCATGATTCTGAGCATGCACGTACACGTACCTGACATAATTTTCTTTCTTTCTTTAAAAAAACAATTAAAAGAATTAGTTTATTTAACTTTATGTATTTTATTTATTTACTTGCTTATTTTAATTTGATCAGAGAGGGACAGAGTGAGAGAGAGAGAGAGAGAAAGGGAAAGAAAGCGCACTGCCAAGTGTGGGGCTCGAACCGTGGTCGGCCACGTGGGAGTCCAGCATCCTTGACCACCACACCACCTGCCAGCCCTCTGACATGATTTTCAAGGTTTCAAGTCTGGGACTTGAACCATTGTTGACCGTGTGGAAGTCCAGCACCTTAACTACCATGCCACCTGCCAACCCCACCAAGGTTATTCTAAGGCGTTATCCTCCATAAAATTGACATATAGTACTACTTTCTCCAAAAGATGGTATTGCATATTTACCAGGACCTCGCATATTACCAAAGCCTTTCACCCCTACATAGCTCCTGTGAAATCGTAGGGATGAGGAAACTAAGTAGCAGATCACAATAAAAAGGGGGAAATAATAACAAAATAAAACAACCTCCCCCTCACAAAAAATAAAGCAAACACCCTAAAATGTACTCAGTCTCCTGGCTAGCGTGACAAGAGAGAGAGTGACAGGGGAGAGAGAACTCCAGGGCATTGGGGTTAGATTCAGGATTGGATCTCAGCTCATCCAATCCTCACAACACTGACCTGGTCAGGGTATGGAACCTCTCTAAGCATCTTCGTTTTCACAAAGTACGGGTAATATTAACCCCCAATTTTATGAGAATTAAATAGGATAAAGTATAAAAAGCACACAACAAAAAGATGCTTGCTGAATATTAGTTTTGTTCAGTTGACACATCTGTAACGGGGCGTGATTGAGGCTGACCACACTCCATGGGGGTGCTTTCTGCATCTCTTTTTTCAGCTCCCTATCTCTCTCAGGCCAGTGCATGTACCCTCAGGCAATGAGGGGGAAAAAAAGGTGGGGATGTAATAAAACCTATGTGGGGACTAAGTGAAATGCACAGTTACTGGGAAGTGCTCCCAACGTTAATACTCCTTGCCCACTTCCCCCGTTCTGCGCCCGGCCATACCCACAGGAAAGGGCAAAACAGCTTGAGAGGTTCATCTTGTAAGCCAATAAACATTTACCCAATAGACTCATCATTTTTTTCTCAAAAAAGGCCGGAATAAATAATTTTTCAAAGACAGGTAACGTAGCCCAGGTTGCTAGATCATTTCAATGTTCCTGACAGCCCCGAAGGTGATGGGAAGTTTGGGAACGTGCCAGCTCAACCCACCCCTCTGGACTCACAATCCTTCCCAGCGGCCAGTTCCACCTGGAAGAGGCACATCCAAGTCTATTTCTTTTTTAATTGCTAAAGTCAGTTTCACTTTAGTGTAACCAGCGGTTAGATGGAGTGAGGATTACAGAGAAATGCCAAGAAAAGGGAAATGAAAAAAATAGTGGACAAACACAACAGAGGAAAAATACGTTGCCACATAAATCCGGCCTCTCTTCGGAAGAGATCAGTAACGCTCAGATTATTTTATAATCTGCTACATGTTATGAGGGTTCCACGTGGCCCCTTGTTAGTAAAAGAGGGTGTATCAAATACAGGTCAGCTTCTCTAACACGATCATTCCCAGAGTCCACAGCAGCCGCAGCGCAGCGCTGCCAAACGCGTCCTCCATAGTTGAGTCACTTTCCCGGAGGCACGGTGCCCATGAACCTTCTAACACAATTCCCACAGGAAGGAATGCAACAAAGGATTGTCTTTTTATTTATTTTTGGTGGTAAAGGTCCTCTTTGGTTGAAGCTGAATAGTTAAGTAAATAATTCACCCACAACACCGACTGTGGGAAATTTCAATGCTCAACATAAAGAGTTTTTAGAATACTCTATGTAGAATGAAGCGCTCAGAATCTGGAACGCTTGTATTTTAGAAGTGCAACAAAAGCGTTTTCTTAGCACCTTTAAGTTGCAGTCACCTACCTAATAAGAGGGAGGAAACATCCTAAAGTCAAATATCTCCCCTGCCGCCCAAGCACGCATCGCTTTTTCCTAAGATTTAGGCTTGGAGAAGAAACCAGGTGAGAGATGCAAACTATCTTCGGATAGAATCTGAGACCGAGAGTCCGAACGCACGCAGGGCAGTGGGCGTCAGGGTCCCGGCGGGGTCGGGGCGCAGGTTAGCTGCCCCCCTCGTCGGGCTCGCTGCAAGGCGAAGGCGCCGAGGAGGCCTTGGACTCGCCGTCGCTGTTGCATTCGGCCCTGCGCTGGGGGGAGGTGCCGGCCGCGCCCTCCTCCCCCCCGGCGTGGCGCTCCAGCAGCTCCTGCAGGTGCTTGATGTAGCCGATGGCGGCACGGAGCGTCTCGACTTTGCTGAGGCGCTTGTCAGCCAGCTCCCGGGGCAGGTGGTCTCGGAGACGCGCGTAACCCTCGTTCACGCAGCGCACCCGCTGTCGCTCGCGCTCGTTGCGCTTGCGGAGGAAGGCGGGCTCGAAGGCGCCCTCCAGAGGCAGGGGCAGGTACGCCTGCCTCCGTGCACAGCCTGCGTGCGCCCGTTCCCAGCACGCAGCGTCCAGGCGCAAGGAGACCCTGAAGGAGTCCCTAAGAGGGAGTCGGGGCAGGATCCCTGGCACGCCTGAGGCCACCGAGCGCAGGGGCAAGGTCAGCAGTCCCGCGGGTTTACGTTTCTCCATTATTCGCCGAAAAGCAAAGAGATCATCCAAGAGATCACCCGACCTATCAATAGAAGAACTTTTAAACCTTCGAAGAGGAGGTGCTGGTCCATACAGCCGGCCGCGCACAGCGGCAGGTCTGGTTTGGGAGAAGATTCTGGGCCCAAAAGCCAGGTTCGAGGACAAGCTTCAAGTGCTCTGCGTGATGCCCGAAGTTCATTGCACTCCTTGATGAAGATTCAGACGAAGTGATAGGCAAAGATTTGGGACCCCTTTCTCTACACTTCAAACTTGCCCTCTGCTCTTATTTCAAAAGGTAACAAAGAGGGATACTCGGCTGAGTCCTCTAGCCGGGAAATGTGAGCGCACAGCAAATAATCTTCCAGAGACACCCCAGCTTTTCAGTTCCTGTAATCCACCTCCATGGGTCTTCAAGAGATGAGTCGTTCACAAAGAGTCTAGGAATCCTTAAGATTTGAGAAGAGCTTTCCTCCCAGGGACCTAACAGATCTCCTGGCAGCAGAGCGAAACTTCGCCAGCGCTTCTCCTTGAAAAGCAAAACTTGACTGCCCTTTGTGGCTTCCGGCGTCCAGGTCTAATGGAAGGAGCTTTTAGAGTGTTTGCAAACTTGCACTTGCTCTTTCATTTCTGGGGAGGTGGAGAGACCTCATCAAAGCAAAGACTGCTCTCTTGTGGTTATGTGTCATGTCAAGGAGGACCCCAGGGGAGGCTTGAGGTTTTCTGCTCCAAACTAAATCTTAAGAAAAACCAGTTAGGCATTTTTCGAAAGGAACAGGGGAAAAAAAAACATTTTAGCAACGAGGGGTAGGCATATTACTTTTCAACTTAGATTGAAGGCAAGGGGCTTTATGTGTACCTGCTGCTTTTTAAGAACACATCAAAAGACTGAACAGTAACAAACACCTTTAGTCTTCTTTTTTTTCCTAGAATGCTTACTGTAAACACAGCTTAAATACTGCTTCTCCGACCTCTTCTAATCCCACCCAGGATATAAGAACATCAGTTTTCCATCTTGCAAAGAGTATTTTCCCATTGTATTCTTTTTCTTAAAAAAAAAAAAAATTTCCCCTTGGGGGCAAAAAAAAAAGCAGCATTTGAAAGGTGGAGAGCCCCTATTCCAAGGAGAAAGGATGATGTCTTTGAAGATTTATCTTTTTAACACACAACCCAAAAATGAATAATTAATCCTCTGTGTTGGTAAAGGCCTTTGAAGATGAAAGTGTCATTAAAAATCCAACTGTACTGGTTAATGTCAAAGAATGTGTTATCACACTGAAAATCAGACTTCCTGTGCTGCAAACCAGCACATTAAAGACCTCGTCTACTTTAAAAGTCTAGCTTAAAAACAAGAGATGCAAAACCCCCCACATTTATGATCAGACCTTCTACCTATTCCTTGCAAACCAAGGTGTTGCCCTAACACGTTTTTTTGACAAGTCTTGTGCTTTCCTGTTTACTCCAAATGATCTGCCCGCAGCAACTAGAAAAACACTTCCATCAAGACAAATAAAATAGAAATAATTATTCCTTTCAGGCATAGGTTAGTCACATTTTAAAAGGTGTAGCTCCCTATGAGGCTTGTACCGGCAAACTGCCTAGTATGTCGTCATGAGTTCTTGGTAGAATTGAGAAAGTCCTTTCTTTTAGAAGAAAAGCCCACCAGAGAAACAGGTAGATGTCAGACCACAAGGTGTTTTTCAACCATATCAAAATCTATTTATGTATTTATTTAAAAAGATGATCTATTCAATTTTATTTATTCCCTCATTTATTTTAATTTGACAGAGAGAAGGAGAGAGAGAGAGAAGAGGGAAAATAAGGCACCAGATCCAAGATTCAAACCACAGTAAGCCATGTGGGAGTGTCCAGCGCCTTAACCACCATGCCACCTGCTGATCTCCCCAAATCTATTTATTTAAATGTAAACTTTATTTTCCCCTTTACCCATGATAAAGTGCATGCACAGAGAGAAGAGAGGAAGACAAAGGCAAGAATCCTCTACCAGGTCTGGTCATGCCTCAATGCCCTTCTCTTTGTTCTCCAGCCCGCCAATCCTGAGCACTCCTGGGGCATGCCCAGCATGTTTCAGTCCAGCTGGGCTGGGAACTTGAACTGTGGTCACCATGTGGGTTTCGCCTCTCTTTGAGTAGTACATTACCAGTGCACCACTGAGCCAGCCCATGTCAAAGATTTCTGACCTTTATTTAAAGAGTGTCAGGAAGATAATGAGGTATTTTAAGCAAGAATGTAACATTAAGATTTATGTTTCAAAAAGATCACTCTATTTGTAGCTGGAGGATAGATTGGAGAGAAGAAAATTCCAAAACAGAGAGAGCATTTTTCATTTCCAAATTGCTGGAACTATCTGGATTGCTAACATCTAGGCTAAGCAAAGGTTTTGAGGAAGGTGTGGAAACATAAATTGCTGCAAGCTTTTGCAAAAGAAACTATTAAAATTAACAGTGCATGGGACCAGCAGATGGTGTAATGGTTATGCAGCTGAACTCCCATATAGGTAACTGCAGTTCAAGTCTCAGACCAGGTGGCCTAAAACTCACACCAGGCACATGTGTGTGCATACCCAAAATCCCAAGAGGAAAATAGAGAAGGGATTGCAATGTAGACATCCCCCCTGGGGCGTGATTTCTCACTTCCTATCTCTCTGTCTGTCTCTCCAGCTAGTACACATGCCCTATAGCAAAAATCTCTCTAAAAGTAAATTAAAAATTAATAGTCATTTGGCCCAGTTCTGTAACTTGGTGGTTAAGGCAGCCAGATCTCATATGGCTGACAGCATTGTTCACATCCCAGACCCAGTGGCTTGAGCAACATGCTAGATGCATGTGCATGCATACCAAGAATTCTGAAAGGAAAGAGAGGTGGAGAAGGGATTGCAGTGTGACCATTCCCCGTAGAGGTGCTTTCTTCTCTCCCTTTCACTGTGTCTCTCTCTGGTGAGCACATGTGCCCTCTAGCAAAAATAAATGGATAAATGAATAAATAAATAAAACAGTGCATATCATATACCCTTTGACCCAAAGATCCCTACAATGTGTTCCTGCAAAAATAAATACACCAGCACAGATTCACTTGCATAATATTTGTTGCCGCATTTGTAGTGATTAAAAAAAGAAAAGAAAAAAAAGGATATAACCTGAATGTCTATCAATAGGGAAACAATTAGAACTTTAAGAATACTTTCCTTTTTTGAGAATTATTTATTTATTTCTATTTGTTATTATAATTAGTATTATTATTTTAATTTGACCAGAGAGAGAGAGAGAAAAGGAAAAGGAGTGAGAAAGCAAGTCACCAGGTCCGGGACTTGAACCGTGATTGGCCATGTGGGAATCCAGTGCCCTTAACCATCATGCCACCTGTTGGCCCCCTAGAATATTTTTCTATTATTGGGACAGCAGAAGGCGCAGTGGTTAAGGCACCAATTCCCATGTGGCTGACCATGTTTCGAATCCCAGACCTGACAGCTTACTTTCTCACTTTCCCTCTCTCTCTGTCTCTCTCTGGTGAGTGCATGTGCTCTATGACAAAATTTTTAAAAATAATAATTAAACATTTTTTTAAAAAATATTTTTGCTAGAGAACATGTTCACTCACCGGAAAGACAGAGAGAGACAGAGACAGAAAGCAAGAAATCACCCCCCCAGGGGAAATAGCCATGCCTCAGTCCCTTGTTCTTCATTCTCCTCTGGGGATTTTGGGCACACAAGCACACATGCTGAGTATGAGTTTAAGCCACCGGGTCCGGGACTCAAACTGTGGTCGGCTATGTGAGAGTCTAGTGATGTAACCATTACATCATTTGCTGGTAGCTAAAGCAATATTTTTAATGAGAGGGCCAGCCTGTAGCTTGGCAGTTAGGGTGGCTGGATCCCACATGGCTGATCTTGCAGTTCAAGTCCTGTCCCAAATCCCAAAAGATAGGTGAGAGGGAGGAGAAAGGATTGCAGTGTGACCATTCCTCAGGAGTGCTTTCTCACTTTCTGTTCTCTTGCTCTTTCTCCCACAAGCATATGCAAATTTAAGGTAAATGATGAATAAATAAAGAGTAAGATCTACATGAAAGAACTTGCAGAGGTATCTACTGACATAATGTGTTAAATGAAAAAAAGCAAATTGAAGAGGTTTGCAGCGTGAACATAAAATAATTCGCTGAATGCAGAGAATGAAGTAGAAGGAAATATGCTAAAATTTTTGACATTGGCCACTTAAAAAGAGTAGCGCTGGGGCTGGGAGAGGTATTAATTTTTCTTTATAAATCTCTCCAATGTTTAATTTATTACAATACATATTACTTTGTATTTAAATTTTTTAAATTACTGATTTATTATTAGTTTAATTTACTATAGGGCACACGCACTCACCAGAGAGAAACAGAGAAAGAAAGACTGAAAGAGTGAAAGTGAGGAAGTGGGGCTGGCAAGTGGCATGGTGGTTAAGGGCACTGGACTCCCACATGGCTGACTGTGGTTCGAGTCTTGGACCTGGTGGCTTGATTTCTCACTTTCTCCCTCTCTGGTCAAATTTAAATAAATAAATAAGCAAAGTTAAATAAAATAATTATTAAAAAAAAAAAAAGAAAGAAAGCCACCAGGTCTGGGCCTCGAACCATGGTTGGCTATGTGGGAGTCCAGTGCCTTAAACACCACACAACCTGCTGGCCAGTTTTATAAAATTTATCAATTTTTAGCAGTTCATGTTTTTTGTGTCCTATCAAGGCCATGACGATTTTCCTATGTTTTAATCTATAAGAATTACAGTGTTAGTTCTTACATTTATCTGACCTGATTTTTATGTACACCTCTGAATTTAATAACATTGTTCAAATAGAAGAAGCACTGAAGGCTGGCTTGGTGCTGCTCAAACGTTGCTGGATCCACATGGAAGGTCGTGGTTCAGTTCCCAGTTGGACCTGTACATCCTGGTTGGCTGGGAAGGCTGGAGGGGGAAAGGATTGACTAGGAGTCCCTGTTAGGATACTTGTCTTTCTCTCCCTGCATTACTCTCATGAAAAAAATAAACTTAAAATAAATAATAAGAAGAAAGGATAGGCACCCAAACCTGAAAAGGTGAAAGCATTCAGCCACCAGTAAAATACATCAGCACTCACTAAGCCCCAGGGTCAAAGTAGTGGTATTTCAGGGAATACTGTCTCTCACTTGTGATATGATTTTCTGATTTAGATTAATATTAGTTGTCAACAAGAGCACAAAGGCAATATGATTCACCAATGTTCTGTGATAAATTCTCTCATGTGGACTGTGGTTTCCTTAATTTATGAGCAGCTAAGGAAAGAAAATACAATGAGGGGGCCTGACTGATGGCTGGCGGTTGAGGCTCTGGACTCCCACACGTGTAAATGAAGTTTGAGTCCTGGACCTGGCAGCTTGCTTTCTCACTTTCTGTCTGTCTCTGGTAAGTGTGTGTCCTGTAGGAAATTAAAATTATAATGATAAGTCAAATTATTTAATAAAAAAAATTCAAAATTCAGCTCTCATCCAAAACCATGTCTGAGCCTGTGCCCTTTTTTTTTTTTTGAGTCTGTGGCTTTTCACGTTAGACAGAAATTCCAGAACTCACTAGGCCTCTCTAGACGGCAAGCAGGTGCAGGTCAGGACCTGTGTCTTGTTCTGTCTCCCCGTGTTTGAGATGCAACTCAATTAATGCTTTTTGAACGAAGGGAGGATACCGGCGTCATCTCTGTCGGCTCATTTATCTGCGAGGAGGTCTCAGTACCCCTCGCGTTTAGCACCGTCCCTGGCAGGCAGCACGGGAAGGGCAAAGAACGAGGGCGAAGGCCATTTGTGCAGCACACACACCACCATCTACAACACGAAGCCGGCGAACAGGGCAACCTCTAGCTGTAACATATGGCGACGAATATTTGGAACGTAATTGCTTCTGGGTAACACCGCCAGACTTGTAGGCTAAGTCCTTTATTTCTAATTTTGGGGGCTTATGTAGACCCAAGCTTCCCGAGTGGGGAAATACGGTGAGCACCGAAACCTTGAGTCTGGGGCATTCAGAGGACACTGATGCACCCGAGCGTGCACGGCGGCCCTGGTCGCCTAGCAACTGTGAGTCGATCGCTCGGCGCTCGACTGGATTGGGCCGGACCGAAATTCGGCGCTCGCGGGGAGCCTCCCTCGGGCCGCCCTCTCCGGCGCGGGTGTCCGCGCTGCGCACGCGCGCAGGGGGCCGGGCTGGGCTGCGGGAGGGCGCGGCGGCGTGCGGGC